AAAGTATTAGAAGGCATACTCGGACAACATCGACGTCATCCATCCGAGTAAAACCATCTTTCTTATTCAATAATCTCGTCACGTCTTCCACGTGTAGATTCGACCTCTCTAGCTCAGGAAAAACCCGGGATAACCATGATGGGCGGGTAATGTGTCTAGTGTACTGACCTACATCATCGTGTCCGAAGCGTAGACCGGTGATTAAGCAAAACTCCTCCCGCCCAAAACACGTATACGCCGGTGGAAAATCAAACCATATCTCTTCATCACGACGTTGTATAGTATCTGGTAGATAGCTAGTCATGGTTTGAAGAAACAGGTGTGTCAACATCGCATCTCCACCGGGATGTTGTACTTTCAGCCATGGCCCGAAGCAAATATCCTCAAACATTTTTCTTTGTGCAGGTGAAAGCTTCGACGCAATTGTTTTGACCAGGCTGACTTTATTTCTTAAGGTCAATTGAGCCGAATAAAAGTTCTACAAAAACAATAAACATACTAAGTTAGATATACCAAAAACTACACTGTGAAGATATACCAAAAACAATAATAAACATAAAGAGTAGTAGTTTATTCTTCAAACTTAAATTTGCAACACTGTGAATTTTGTATTTGTCTTTGTTTTTTGGTTGAAGTAATGCAATTCATTCAAGTTTCAATTTGCAGAAGAAGAATAGTTTCTGAAAATGAAAATCGCAACACAAAAATGACTATCGCAACGCGAATTTGACTATCGCAACGCGAACCTAAAATCGCGTTGCAATTTTCATTTCGCGTTGCGATTCTCGGTTGATTTAATAAGCAATCTAAGTGAAATGGTTAATCTATTATTGAAATTACCAGTAAACTTATCATCAATTTCAATATGAAAAACCTAATAATAATGCAAAAAATTCAAAAAGAAAATAATTAAAAAAACTAACCCTCGGTAGTTGATTTGGTTGATTTTCCATTTCTGATTGTGAGGGTGGCTCTGAGAGATGGAGATAGACGGATTTCGCCAGAGATGGGGACGGATTTCGTCGGAGATGGGTGAGAGAGTGAGAGATGGAGATGGGACTGAGTTGTGATTTTAGGTTATGAGTTGCGATTACGGGATATACTGTGGACAATTCAGTGTTCCAATATATTAATATTCGTGTTTGGAATTTGAAAATAAAATACGCGTTGCGATACTAATGGCGCTTTGAAAATCGCATTGCGATTATGTATTATCTAGTTGCAAAAGTCAGTATCGCTTTGCGAAAGTAAGTATCGCATTGCGAAAGTCAGTATCGCGTTGCGATTTTGTATTATCGCGTTGCGATAGTCAGTATCGCATTGCGATTTTCCCAATTCGCGTTGCGATTTACTTATTCGCATTGCGAATTGGGAAAATCGCAACGCGAAATTGGAAAATCGCATTGCGATAGTCATAATCGCGTTGCGAATCTGGAAACTGATTTGCGATAATGGAGATCGCGTTGCGAATTAGCGATCGCATTGCGATTTTGTTGGTCATTTTGGCAAATCCGGAAAAAGTTGGTTAAAATCGTATATTATATGGGATTTTTTGTCACTGAGGTTATTTTCTCTTTAAAATAAGATAAGAATAAAATGTATATTTTTAAATAAAAAAGTAAAATATTTTTAAATTAAATTAATAATAAAATAAATTTAATAAGTTAATATTAAAATAAAATATTTTTCAAATTAATATATAAAAAATATTATGAATTTAAGTTAAGTATTTCTAGGCCTGTAAACGAATCGAACGAACACGAACGGGGGTATGATCATGTTCGTTCGTTTAACTTTAACGGAACAAATGAACCAACATGAACATAAACGAACACAACATTTCTTGTACGTGTTTGTTTGTTAAAAATGTAGCATGTTCATGTTCGTTCATATTTGTTCATTTAAATGATAAACGAACATAAATGAACGGAAGTAAACAAACATAAATAAACATAAACAAACGAACGTAAACAAACACAATAAATGAACATAAACAAACATAAACGAACCTTCAAAAACATAACAAATGAACATAATCGAACACAATAAATGAACGTAAACGAATGTAAACAACAACAATAACCACATAAAAGTCATTATTCATTAATATAACCAACAAATTTAGAGTTAAAATTATTTGGGTTTTAAATGGGTATGGTTTACATTTTCTTTAATTGATTTGTGTTTAAAATTATTTGGGTTTTAAAATATTAATGATTGGATCTTAATATTTTAAATGGGTATGGAGCTTAGGCTGAATATAAACAAACGAACATAAACGAACATACACAGACATAAATGAACGAACATAAACTTTAAAACCTCAACATTTTGTCTAGTGACCGAAATATAAATTTTGAAAGGTTAGTGACCAAAGTATAAATTTGGAAAAGTTTAGGGACTAAAAATATAATTTTTAAAAGTTATATTTATACTGTAAATGAATAGTTTTTTTGTTGTTGCAAAATTAACGTTTTCATAGGAGTCAGAATTTTGATTCAAGATTTGTATTAAAAGCTATAAAGTAGAAAGTCCGATAAGAATTCTAGTAATTGGATCGAACCGGAACTTCACGGAAATTTGAAGGATGATAGAAAAAGGTTGGAAATATTATTTCCATAATTTAGAAAAGTTAAATTTAACATGGATCAATGGCATTGAAGTTGATTTTTCCATGTTAAATCGAAATTGTAAATTAATCATCTTGAAATTCTCTATTATTTGGTATAAAAATTTCATGGAAATAATGCTTTGATGATGAATTTCATGAATTGGGTGGTTGAAGAACATGTTTGATTTTGAAAAGTTAATATATTATTTTTATGTTTGATGTTGTAGATTAATTTTCAAGTATAAGTGATGATTAAAAGCAATTATAAAGTCATATATAAGTTCGACCATGGTAGGGTTTATGGATATTGGTTGAATTTTGATTGAAGTTGATGTTAGATGTGTTCTACATGCTTTGGAGATTGAATTGAATCAATTTGGAACCTTGAGATAGTAAAAGGACCATTTTGCAAGTTTTGGAAATTACGAGACATTGATGTGTAATTGTTAAATTATGGGTGTTCATTGCTGGAATTTTATGTTGAAATGCCGAATTTGAAGTTAGACTATTGTTTTGGATCAAATTGTAAAATTTGGGGAAGTTTAGTAGTCAATTCGAATAAGCTTGAAATTTGTGGATTTAATTGCATGTTTGCAAATGTGAAGTTACTAGATTGCGTATATTACTACAATGTTGGAATTTTTAGAATTTGGGTTTAAATTAAGTAAAATGGTAAATGACCATTTTGAATAAATTGGAAAAGTCAGAATGAATTCTAAAAGAATTCATAAATGATGACTGAAATGTAAAGTATTGAAAATTAGATAGTTTGCTGATGAATATGAAATTATTTGAAATTGAATAATTATTTTGGAAATGTTGAAGTTGTTATGGAAAAGTGAAGTGTTTTTTATATCAAACAAGTATCGGATATATTTTATGGATTTTTGTTATTAGATTCCGCTTATGTTAGTAAGGTACTAATATATGCTTTGAATATTTATGTAGTTTATTATTTTGTTTAGACTGTGATAAATTTTGTAATCAAAGTAAATTGAAAGCAAAAGATCAAATACAAGAGTAACTAGTGAGGCATTACCAGGTGAGTGAATTATGATTTTTATGCTATCATATATAATATATGAGAACGGTTTGCGACGAATCAACTTCAAATGATTTTGAAAGAAAAGTTTTAAATTATATCATGAATTATTTTTATATTGTTTACAAAATGATGCGTCGATAATTTGAGTATAAATTACTCAATACATTTTATGTGATATTTCATTTAAATAATGTTTAAATAATTTATGAAAATGATTTTGAAATGATTATATGGTATGGAGTATTTAAAGTATTTTATACGAAATTTGCTAAATAAATATGAATGATTTCGGGTATAAACTCTCCAATGCAATGAATTTTGATAAAGAATAATTGAACATATATATTGTAATAGCTTCACAATTAATAAAAACAATATATTTGTAATTCAATCAAAGTAAATTATTCATATTATTTATAATTATAAAAGATGAATAGCATTAAATTTTAATAATAATAAAATTAACTCAATAAAAAATAACAGATAAAAAGTTAATAAAATTTATAATGAGTGTATGTTTCACTAAAAGTATTTTAAAAAATATGTTCGGGAAAATTTACCAAACTAAAAATGAATTATGTATCTTCATTCAAACATTAGAAAATATTTTCTAAAATTTATTTTCCAGAAATTTTAATTCATTTTATATACTACAATAATATTTTTAATTATTATCATTATTATTACCAATACAAATAATATTTTTAATAAAAACATATAATATTTCAAATAACATATATTAATCCAACTTACAGTAAAACCTCCCAATAGATGTGTAAATAGTAAATATCCTGAAAATTCGAGTCTGTCATACTTCACCCGCGGCTATACAGGGCGATTTGAAAGGAAATATAGCCTCCTCCCTCCCTCCTCCAAAAAAAAAAGACTGAGCTACATTCCGTACTTGTAATCAACAATGACATGCCTAACTTTTCGATCTCTCAGCTCTATGTTCGTCAAAACTAGGTATATTACTATGTCTACTAATTCCACTGCAACTTAACACAAATGAATTTGATTTGGTTAAGCCATTGACAACAAAGGGTAAATTAGTTTACTAACATTGGAAGAGCTTTAGGGAGTAACAAATACAGTAGAAGACTCACTCCCGTAAAGATACAGCATTGGAAGCATACCGGAAGATTAATTTACTACTCTATACATGTTATCAGTTCCATATATATGTTCCTAGATTTTAACTTACAACCCAGAAAACAAAAGCCACAGAACCTTTGCTTCAATGCACCATGCAAAAGCAGAACAAAAAACATAATCAGTTTCAGTTAAACAAGGTTAGAGAAGACAAAGAAACTGGTAATAGCTAGGGATGAATTGGCTGTTCCATTAAGTATTTGAAGCAATGGCCTTGCTATTACGTTCAACGCCCAACTCCAACTTCCCTGTCCCTACAGTTCTACCAAGGCTACAATCATAACTGAACAGCTGATCCACGGAGGTGACCACCGCGCATTTTCTCTCGGTTTTAGCTTTACCTTTGACCTTCTTCTTTGCATCTGAAGATGACGACGAGGTGGACTGTGACGACAGGGCTGATGGAATTTCGAAGTTGGTCTTAGCTTTCGACCCTCTCAGCCGCCTCGCCGCTGCATCATAAGCACGCGCAGCTTCCTCCGCCGTGTCGAACGTGCCTAGCCAGTGCCTGCACCGCCCAATACGGTCGCGTATCTCCGCTGACCACCTCCCCCACGGCCTCTTCCTCACTCCCCTGTAGCTTTTCTGCACTGAAACCGTACTACCCATGTCTCTTTTGTTAGACCCGAAACGTTGTGACACCGAAATGAAACCTGGTTGATTGCCACAGTTGATGTGGTGATTCACAGCGGGGTTGGTCTTGTTACCAAGCAGAACGTGCTGGCCAACCACGGCGGCTATCCCATCGAGAATCGGAGGTATTTCGGGACCGGTTTCCATTTTAGTTTCAAGTGCATTTTCACGATTCCTATCAAAACCATTAAAAGAGAAAACACCTGCGAATTCAGTGCAAAAGGGTTGATAATTTCGCTCGTGAAAATGGGTGGGGGCAATCATTTGAGAAGAAACCTCGGGACGATTGTAAGGCCAAGGCGTTACGTACGCCTCTGGGGTACTGAAGAGCGGAACAGCTTGGAGAGAACGGTAATGTACAATGGCGGGGCTTTGCATTGTAAGAGATGGAGTCAATTAGGAAGACAGATATTCAGAGTTTGATTGATGAGCGTAACACTAGCTACATATATAGAAGAAAAATATATATTATTATTTAATTGAAACAATTGTTTTACACATTAATAAAATTATTTTAAATTTATATAGCAAGTTTAATAATTGTACAAAAAAATTAAAAATATTTTCAAATTTATAGCTAATTAGTTTTTATGGTAAATTAATTCTCTAATTATAATATGTTTCTTTGTTGAATATTTTAAATATTAAAAGTTATAAGATGTTTAATTAATTATGGAGGTTGTTTTTGTTGAGTATCTCAACTATTAAAAATTATAAAATTATCAATTGATTATTCATATTTTTTAAATTCATTTTTTAAATTATCAACTAATTAAAAATTTATCATAGGCTATGCTAGACTCTAATTTGTTGATTTTAATATGATAGTCTTTTGAGATATTGAGTTTAGATTTTATCATATCACAATCAACATGTTAATGTTCAACTCAAATTATCATTAATTTTTAACAAAAAATGATGAGTTCAGAAAATTAATAATCGAGTGATAATTTTATAACTTTTAATAGTCCAATGACTTAACATAATAATGACATATAATCAAAAAACTATTTTATAACTTTTAACAGTTAAAAGACTTAACAGAATAATATTTTATAATCAATAAATCATTTATAAATTTTACCCTAATTTTTAACACTGCATATGTATTTACTTTTTATATTTTATAATAATACGATGTGAATCAAATTAATAATCAATTTACAACTATTATTAAAATTTTAAATTATTCTACTTCACATCAAACGTGAATATTCAAGCCTTAATAGGTGTATCCCTTTCTGAAATTTATGCCAATAAAAATTGAAATTAAAAATTTACTATAAAAAGAGTTTAAATCAACTGACACATTGTTTCATTTTAATAAAGATATTATATTCAAATCTTTAATAATGTATTAATATTAAAAGCTCGATAAGATTAGATACAATTATTAAAAAACAAAAATAAAGTCAAAATAATTAAAAACACGACAAAATAATAAAAAGTTAAAATATATTTTTTTTAAAATTCCAGGATTGAACCAGTAGTTTAGGATTTGAGGGGCTTCGCCCTGTCACATAATTAAAAAATTATTTAAGTAATTGTGTAGTGAGATTTTATTTTGGATTTGAAGATATCCCTGTCTGTCATTGTCGATGAGACCGTAATCCGTAAAATTTACGTTCCTGGATCTCTTGCTCGATTACCCATTTTATTCTTTAAATTTGCCGTAATTTACAACAAACGCAACTCCTTTCAAGACGAGCGGCGAGGACAAAAACGTAACACCACTGTCATGAAAATTAATTAAGGGATAAGAATATGATTTACTACTCCAGAACAAGAAGTGTGAATAAAGGTGATTTGATAGGGGAGATTAGGGAGTCGAAAGGTCTAAAATAGCCCTAAAGCCTAATTTAATCTCTAGATTCTACACGGAAGGAAATAGGAAGTAAAAGAGGGTCATTATTGTGAATGAATAGCAATCCAGAATATGGGGAGAGATTTATAGAGTGTAATAGTTACTAATAGTGCGTAATCTCGAAGGAGCTCCATGGGGCTAATAGCCGTTCGATTGCATGACGTCATCTTGTCATCAAAAGATTAGATTGTTTGACGCTTTGACTAGATAGGTGTTCGATGATGATTTCATCATACTGTCCGTAGGAGTAAATTATATTTATCTTGAAAAAGAACAGGAAGTTGGAATATTTATTATTAGAGAGAACCAAAATTCAGTTTTTAGACTTTTTTAAATTTTAAATAGTTTAGTCATTTGAATTAATTATAATTTAGAGTTTATATTCTAAATTCGAGCTGAAATTTAATTTCAAAAGTTTAAGTCGACCGAAAATTAAAAATTTAACTAAACTATTATAAAGTAAAATGTTGAGGGCCATTTTTAGAATTATTCCAAATAACTGTACAGAACCTAATATATTTAAATCGAGTAAGTGTTTTTTTTCTTTTGGGTAGAAGTTTTGGTAAAATTAGTGGGAAAATTTTGATGTTGGGGATGACGTGCCCTTGGTGCCAAAAAATATAAATGGGACACCGGGCTATTAGAGGCAGGAATTGGGGGAGATGAGGTGCAGAGGAATAACCGTGTGGAAACAGTTGAAGAACCGATAGGAGAACATGATCTTTAATTAAAGGGTGATGGTATGGGTAAGTTTGTGCGACTTGGCGCATCTTATTACTCACACATGAAAAGTCCTCATCACGTCAATCAAACCTTTTCTTTTAATCTTTTTCCTTTCCTTTGGGTTTACTTGGTCCAGAATCTATTAATATTTGAAATTGACCTAAGCATAATAATTTATACATAGATTATATCAAACTTATAATAGGAATAAAAATAAATTTTTAATTTTTAATATTAATGATATTTATTTTTCATTACATAGTTATAATCAATTTTCAATGAATCATGTTTATTTTATGATAAGACCAATTTTCCATCATTTTATTTTAATATTAATGATATTTATTTTTCATTACATATAATAATAATTGTTTTAAATTTTTTTTGAATTGTTTCATTGAATTTTTATTATTTAATAGTTTGTTTGCTTTTATGGTAGTTCTAACGATATTAACTGATTAATGAATTTTGTAACTGTTTTTACTATTGTTTTATTATATTTTTCCTTCTCTTAATAGTTAAAAGGTATCGATATCTTTTTATAGTCATCACTGATATACAGTTCATTGAGCTCGATTCTAGTGAGGGTTATTTTATTAAAAAACTGCACAGTGATATTAAGAGAGAATTGTATATGTTGTAATTAGTGTTGTTTAATGTTGTTCTAAATGCTTGTAATACCGTTTAATGTTCTTTATAAAATTTAACATTTATTTTAACCACAAAGGAGATTTGCATGTTTCAAGTCTCAAGATGCAACATCGATATCAATTATTTGATTACTTTGACAGGAAAAAGACAAAAGTAGAAGTTCAACTCGACTCTGTTCTGGAAATATTATTAAAAAATGACAATGCGGTGGGGTTTGGGAAGTAATCCATGCCGAGACCTCAGATATTTTAACTGACACGAAACACGAGCAGAGAGAATAGGTGAAGGTGATTAGGGTTGTTGGGCCATCGGGATACCCTCACTTTGATATTAGAATCAACATTCGCTGCTACCAAAAAAAGGGGGGGAATGTCTGTTTAAACCCAATACGACGAGGGCGTTGAAGGGAGGGATAGGGTTTGGGGTGTATGTTGTCGTTCCCAAGAGGAACTGTGGGTTTGTGGATGAAGAAGCACGCCCACGTGCTTTTATGAGTTAACGATGATTTCAACACTCATCGGACCCAGTGTTCTTCACTCGCAAATGGCAATGGGCACACTGTTTAATGCTTTGAAAAAGCGAGGGCTTTTGTTTTGACAAGTTTTCATCCCCAGAAGAAACGAGACAAAGAAAGTATGCTATCATGACATCTTTACCATTCTTTTACATCGAAACTCTGTATTTTAGTGTAAAGTAAAAACTCCACTCTCTGCTGCTTTTGCTTGACTTTTGTGCCTGAAGATTGAGATGCAAACTTTTTTTAGTTTGGGTCAATTGATAGCCACTTCTGAATATTATTCCATTACACAAGGATGGCAAACGTGTTTTTCCGGAAGGAAAATATGAATAGTGGTCAAACAAAAATGTGTCATTGGTTTACCTCCTCCTCCACACCAAGATTGGTCTTGTCAGCACTGCATCGAGCCTAAAAGTGAATGCTGGGCTTTGCTTCTGTAACCTAACGACTCCATTAACTAAAGCAAGTATAAAGTTTCTGGACCATGCATGAGATTCTTGCCTTCTTCGAACCTACCGATATATGTTTAAATAAAATCATTTAATATTAAATGCTTAAACTTATGACATTCATGATACTTAAACTCAAGATCTTAATAAATTATTACCACCAAAATCGCTTAAGTCGAGCATAACGATAACTAAATTGATATCAAATAAAAGATGAAAATATAACTAATTTAAGAATAATACACTTTAAAAAAATACTGATTTTTTTGGCTCTAACATTTGACCAAACTTTTCTAATTACATAATACGTATTATATTTGTGTTCATGTATATATACAATAAAAATATAAAAAAATATTTATAGTTTCAAATCATATATAAAAAGACATGTTTTTAAAATGTATCTAAATAAATTACTACTACATTTTTTACAAGAAAATAACCTCAGCGACAAAAAATGCCTTATAATATACGATTTTAACCAATTTTTTTTGGATTTGCCAAAATGACCAACAAAATCGTAATTCGAAATAAAAATCGCAATGCGATCTCCAGAATCGTATATCAGTTCCCAGAATCGCAACGCGATTATGAATAATCGCAATGCGATAGTACAAATTCGCATTGCGATTTTCCATAATCGCAACTCGAATATGAAAATCACAACGCGAACATATAAATCGCAACGCGATTCTGACTATCGCAACGAGTATCCGTAAAATCGCAACGCGTATCCGTAAATCGCAACGAGAATACGTAAAATCGCAACGTCAATACGTAAATCGCAACGCGTATCTGTAAATCGCAACGAGAATACGTAAATCGCAATGCGTATCCGTAAATCGCAACGCGAATACGTAAATCGCAACGCGATTTTTAAAGCGCCATTATAATTGCTACGCGTATTTTATTTTCAAATTTCAAACACGAATATTAATTATCAGAACACTGAACCGTCCACTCCCGTAATCGCAACTCATAACCTAAAACCTAAAAAAATCACAACTCAGTCCCATCTCCATCTCTCACTCTCTACGGCGAAATCTGTCCCCATCTCCGAAGATTTCCGTCCCCATCTCCTGCGAAATCCCTCACAACCATTCATGGTCAGAAATCCCTCACAATCATTCAGAAATGGAAAATCAACCTCCGAGGGTTAGTTTTTTAAATTATT